AATATTTGGTTTTTAAAATCTTCATCTTTGCCTAAGGCATCGCTTTGTGCCAAACTCTGAGATACTGGCCTTTGTCGAACACACCTGGATCCCTGGGTACCCAGATGTGGACAATCTAGAGTAAGAACTTACCTTTTCCCCAGCTGAGGATCTTTGGTCTTAGATGGTCATCCAGAGAAATTAAGTGACCTACTCAATGTCACACTGTAAACCAGTGGAAGAAACAGTGATAAAGATAGCTACTGTTATCACGTGCCAGGGACAGTGCTAGCAGATTTCTATGCTTTACCTTGTTAAACATTACATTATTCATACCTTTACAATGACTCTGATATCATCCCCATTTTTCCGACGAGGAAACAGGTTAAGAGAGGTGAATCACCTGCCCAAGTCTACACAGCCTGCAAGTGAGTAGAAAGGGATTTGAACCCACAGAGTCTGAGGACAGAGTCCACACCCATAACTGCTTGAATCAAGGGAGTTTGTGAGTTGCCTAGGTCTCAAGAAAGGAAAACCAACTGATTTGGCTGGGCAGGGCCCTGAGGGAGAGGGAGAGAAAACACTCTGTCTCCTTCTCCCATTTTCCATTCTTTTTCTGGAAGGTAATTGCTTAGGGCAGTGACAACCTCCTGGTGAATTACACAGCTGGTTTCCCAGTGAGATTTGTAACAACAACCCCGCCAGCCTGGCAGCCCCTAGCAAGTTCCGGTTTAAGAAACGAATTGCTGGATTGTGTAGTTGGTGCTAAATTGGGTAATTTCTTGGTGACGGCATCTGTGCCATTTCTTCCATTCCCAGATAGATTCGAGCTGCATCAGAGATGGATTTGTCACACACGGCACCCTCCCAGACTCCTTCACTCTCCACTTTCCAGCCAGCCATAGGCTACTGCAAAAGTGGCTGCTTCCCTCGGCCCCCAGATTCACCATCTGGGCAGCTCTCTGTGTCCTGGGATAGTGGTTGGATGACTTGGTGCAATAAAAATGGGAAAATAACACCAGCACCCATAATTGTCATAGGACTTCAGGGAGCGTCCTTTATTCTATACTAATCTGACCTTGGACTTGGTATAAACTCGGTGCTCACCACACATGGGAGAAGACTAAATCAGACTGTGGTTAGGTCTGGAAGATATGTATGGATGAGGTCTTTTTATTTGTTTGTGTACTTTAAGAAAATAGATTCACTTTCATTACTCTGTTCACTTCAGAATGGTATTGAATAAGTTTGACTTCTCTGGGCTGGCAACACAGATAGGAGAAAAGCTAATGCTTTGGAATCGGCCATCACTGGATTTGACTTCTGGCTTTGACAGCAGCTCTCAGTGTGACTTTGGGGAGCTCAGTTAGTCTCTCCAAACCTCAGTCTCTTCTTCTGTACACTGGAAGGGGGAGGGGGCGGATAATGTCTATCCCTTGAAACAGTTTTGGGACTCACATAAAATATCATAAATGAAAGGCTCTTGTTTTGTAGACTCACATTCACTCAGCAAATGTCTGCCATATGCTAAGCATTGTTCTAGGGATGGGGAGAATTCAGTGGATAAGATGGATAAAATTCCTGCACTTATGGGGAGCTAACATTCTAGTGGGAGAGATAGACAATCTAGGAGTCACAGGAATTTAAAATGGTAACAATATAAGGGACAGGTACATGGTGCCTTGAGAGCAAACAGCAGGGGGATCTGACCTAGTCAGAGAGGCCAGAGAAAGCTTCCCTGAGGAAGCAACAACTGGGCTGAGATCTGAAGGGTGTGTAGGAGTTAGCAAGGCAGAGGTGGGTAGGAAAAGCTTTCCCAACAGGGGGAATAGGCCCCGTGATGCGAGGGATCATGGGACTGACAAAAGACTGTCCTGGCTGCTGCAGAGAAAGCAAGGGGAGCATGTTGTGAGAAGATGCTGGAAAAGTAGGAAGGGCCAGACCCTGCAGGCCTTGTTGGACAAGTGATGGCATTTTATCCTAAGGACATCAATCAGCCAGTGAAGAGTTTTAAGCAGAGGTGTGACATGATCAGATTTGCATTTTTAAATGGCCATTTGGATTGGAGCAGGGTAAGAATGGAAGCAGGGAGACCAGTTAGGAGAAGATGTGCAGACATGCAGGCAGGAGATGGTGTTCTCAGGGACAGTTGGATTCATTAGCAGTGCTTTCTGCTGCAAATACTACAGGAAATCTGGCCAACAGTGGTTTAAATAAAGAGTGCATTCCTTATCACATGTAGACCTGGAGTAAAGCAACTGTTCATGTTGGTTCCATGGCCTGATGATGCCAGGACTGACATCTCTGCAGTTCTCTAGGCCTTTTGTGGTGGCAAGATAGCGGTCCTAGCTCTGGCAATTATGGTTGTAGTCAAGCCAAAATGGAGGGGAGGAAAGATGGCACTAGCAGGTCCTACCCCTTTGGTCACAAAGGCAAAATCTTTCCCAGAAACCTTCATCATATTTCCATGTATATATCACTAGCCACAGTGAAATCGCCTGGCCTCTAGTTACAAAGGAGGCTGGGATAAGGACAAGGAAGCTGGGAATGAGTTTTAGCAAGTCAGCTGACAGTGATTTGATGGATATGGAAATAAATGGGCACATCTGCTTTCTAGGAAGCAAAATCCATAGGACATGGTGATGGATTTAATTATTAGTCCCTTCCTCACTTGTTTTTCCCTCCCATTGATTTTGTTTAGTAATGGAGTGAAGGCAGGTGGTGTGGGGGGATGAAGGCAGGTGGTGTGGGGGGACGAGTGTGATCATAAAGCATAACATATAGGAGGAACCCAGTTGTTAATGAAATATTTTCTTTAGAAAAATCCATAAATTGGATATCTCCTGCTCCCAGTAATTTTGATTTGATTGTATTGTTTACTATTTGGACATTGGAGATTTTGGAAATCCAAAAGAAAGGCTTCTCATGAAGGATTACATTGTATAATCTTTTAGAGTTTGTAAGAGTTATTGTATTATTTGATATCCATTAAAGTCCTGGGAGATATATGAGCAGGTATCCTGAGGCTTAGGGAGGGTAGGCCACTCTGGTATGTCAGGTGTCACAATCATTCTGATCTCAGGACCTGTGCTTTTTCCACTAAACAGGGCTGCCCTGTTTAGGACCTGGGTAAAGGAGTTGAGGGTTGATCTGTCTGGAGAAGGCAGCAATTACAGGGCCCATCTTCTCCAAGACAAGAGCAAGGAGAACGTGGATTGATGGCAAAGGAGCTGAAGTTTGATAAGACCTTGATGAAAGCTGAGTGGCTTGCCAGCAGCACATGTGTGAAGCAGGAGACAGAGGGGCACCTGGGAATGTCCATCACTGGGAAGTTCCGTGAGGCTCCAGCTTGACGTCACCACACATAGAACAAATGGAACAGTCTGGGCTTCTGCCAAAGTGGCCTTTTGTGCTGTGAGTTTCAGATATAGGTCCTGCCTGGGGCAGGAAGAGGGAAGAGAATGACATGGATGAAGGGCCAGGCTATCCTTCTGCCTTCTTTTCAAGGCAGAGAGATGCTTCCAAGTGCTTTTCCAACAACTGCTTGAAAAGCCATCTTGATCTGAAATTCCCCATTTCCCCAAAGAAAGGCAATGGAGGAGAATTGTCATCCAGAGCCAGGCAGTAGGTATCCATGAGGTCACCCCAGTCTTCCTTCAGGCAGGGTAACCAACAGCTTCTACAGTCCAGGTTCCAGGGTGGGCCAGGGCTGGCCATGTCTCACCCTGTCTTCTATGGAAGATTCTTAGGAAACCACAATCTTCTTCATTGTCGCACATCCTTCAGGGTCAGGAAGTTCTTCCTGATGTCTGACTGTGCCTCTTCCACTACTATTAATCATGTTTGCAAAGCTAGCTGTTCTTCCTGATGTCCCTGTGTCTAATAATGGCATCATTAGTCTTCCAGTCACGGCTGCTGCAAACTTCAGAGTCATCTTCCTTTTTGATTTTCTCTCTCCTATTCCCAGTATTTGCCATTCCCTGTCTGCCAGAACTCTCTGAGCCCACCCCTTAGAATTCCCTGTTTGCACACCTCTTCTGCCTGTCCTTGCTGTTTCCTCACAAGGTAGGTTCTCTTCCCCACCACCTGTGTGTGGGACAGACAGACATCTTGTACTCCATCACAAACACCCTCTCTTCTGAGAAGTCTTCCTTGATTGCCCTCTATTGAATCTGATCCTGTCTTCATCTGAAGTAGACCAACATTTTGGTACCTCTTTCCAGCACAGTCATTTATTCATCTATTTAGTGAATGCTTATTAAGGACTGGATTTGGGCAAAGTCCTGAGTTAGGTGCTGGAGATCCAGAGATGAATAGGATTTGGTTTCCTTCCTGCAGAAGACCACATTCTAGGTGGGGAGATAGAAACCAAAACAGACATTTTCAATGCAGTGTGATAGCTGCTTTCATGGGGACACCCAGGGTGTTATAAGCCCAATAAAGAGCATAACCTAGAATAAGAGCACAGAAAGTCTTCAAGGGAAGGTGGGGCTTAATATGAGTAAGTGTTAGCCAGGGGGAGGGCTTTGAGGTGGATGAAAGAACATTCTAGGAGGAGGGAATAGTTTGTGCAAAAATAAAGTGGCCTGTAATAACTCTGTCACATGAGACGTTGTTCCTCTGTTAAACTACAAACCCCTCGAGGACAGCGACCACTCTTAAATAGCCTCTATACACTTCTCACTCTCTTGCTTATGGTAGCTGATCAACAAATGTTTGTGGAATGGAATCATATTTGAGGGCAATGGAAAAAAAAAAATGCAGTGGCTTAGCACCATGGACAGATCCCACAGACACCTGCAGTTGGAGGTAGTCCAACCTGTACACACATTTGCATGTATTTGCATAATGAAGCCAACCTCATTTCCCTGGGGGTTCAAAGGCTCTGCATCATGGGGGGTCCAATCAGTCTGGGTTTGGGGGGTTGGGAAGGGAAACTGTCAGGGCCAGAGACCATTCCTCTGAGGACTGAGGGAAAACGTCTGTCCCCTTTTGCTTACCATCCTTTCCTTTTTCATCAGGAGCCAGTGGTCCTGAGCCTTCTGAAGTTAGGATTCTGCCTGGTGGTGGGGATCCTGACATCAAGGATGGGACACCCCGGATGGTAAGTGATAGAAGAGTCTGGGAGACGGGGATTAGACTCAGGTTCTCATACCAGAATAATGGGTTTGAATCTTGATTCAAAGTGACTCATCCACTTACTGGCTTTGTGACCTCACCATTTTGAGCTCAATTTTCTCATGGGTAAGTGTGGATAATATCTACGTCACAAGACTTCAGTGAGATTAGAGAATATCAGGTATGCACAGTACCTGGTATATAGCAAGTGCTTAGGAAATAGTAGGAGATGAGCGATGAGCAGGACCTGGAAGAAAGGTGGATGTGGGGAGGTGGTGGTAGGGAGAAAGAGAATGAGTCTCAGAGGTGCTGCTGTCTGGAGTCTTTGAGCCTGTCATCCCTCCTAGTCAGCAGATGGCCCAGGAGCCTGGTCGAGGATGAGGGAAGGCACCGTCTGCCAGCTCCTCTGTCCCTGTCCCTCCTGCTGTCACTCCCTCCTGCTGTAGCTCCTGTCCTGGCAGCTCCTGGAGTCCTGATTGGAGGCAGCTCTTGCTGAGAGCTGACCTCTCTGTCCTGTAGCCTTGGCAAGCCTAGGATGGGGGCCAGGAGCACTGGTTCCAGAGTTTTTTTCTCTACCACTTTCCTTCCTTGCCTTCCCTCTGTTCCTGGGAGGAGGAACTCCTGGGTTCCAATCCCTGTTTAGGATTTGGATGCTACTATGTGTAGCTGCTGTTCTTCTTTATGGATTTTCCTCCTTCATGGGAATGGGAGTGGAGGGTGGGGGTAAAAGGCAAAATGGGAAATTTCATGGGGGGAATATTTGGAACTCGGAAGAGGAATGAGAAAGAGTCATCTCAGGTTCTCCTTCTTATTTCAGTCCACAGGGGAGGGAGAATGAGCCTACAGCCAGATGGAATGCACAGGATGTAGAAAGAAGGGGAGGGATTTTTCTGCGGGATGGTGCTGGATATGTAGATTTGGGTCCAGTGTTCTCTTTCTTCGTAGCAGCTGGGAGCTGTGACCCTGAGGCCTGGCTCTTGCAACAGTGGGGTGTAGAGCAGGGTTGGGGTAGAGATGTGGTTGTGGATCTATTTGCCTAATGCCAGCTTGTGAAAAGCTAGTTCACCTAAAGACTGGTTTCTTTGAATATTTTATGTTTTCTCGGGTATCCTTTTGTTTCTGGTAATCTAAGGATACACACACCCAAAGTATATATATATTTTTATACATAAATGTTCATATATTTATATATATGTATATATAAATATTTCTATGTATATAAATATATATGCATTTATAAATATTTATTAATATATATTTACAAATATAAACATAAATATATATAAATTTAGAGGCCAGGTCTTACTCTGTTGCCTTGGCTAGAGTGCAGTGGTATAAAACAATCATACTTCACTACAGCTCTGAGCTCTTGTGCTCAAGTGATCCTCCCTCCTCAGCTTTCCAAGTAGCTAGAATTATAGGCATGTGCCACCACATCTGGCTAACTGAAAATTTTTTTTTTTTTTTTTTTTGGCGGGGGGAGGAAGGCAGGAAGGAAGGGAAGAAGGACGGTAGGGAGGAAGGAAGGGATGAAGGAAGGAAAGGAAATCAAGCAATGAAAGAGACATTGCCGACCTGGATCTAGAGGTTTACAAGTTGATTTCTTTTTTTTTGAGAGAAGGAAAGAAAAAAAAAATAAGTAAAGGAGAGGAAGAAAGAGGAAGAGAAAGAGGGAGAGTAAATGGAAATATTGCTTTATTTTGAAAAAAATTGGGTATTAATAATGGCCAATCAATGTTTTATTTAAACTAACGGGTAGGTGTGATGTGGTATTGACAAGAATGTATATTTTGTGTATTTGAAGTGGAGAGCTCTATAAATATTTATCAAGTTTACTTGTTCTGGATCTGAGTTCGAGTCCTTGATATCCTTATTAATTTTCTGTCTCATTGAATCTAAGTCTCCTATCTGGGTGTTAGGATCGTTAGCTATTGTTGTTGCATTGATCCTTTTACCACTATATCTTTGTTGCTTTAAAATCTACCTTATCCGATACAAGAATTGCAACTCCTGCTTTTTATTTATTTATTATTTATTTTTGCTCTCCATTTGGTTGGCAAATCCCTCTCCATCCCTCCGTTTTGAGTCTTTGTGTATCCTTGCATGTGAAACAGGTCTGGATGTAACATGCCGTTGGGTTTTGGCTGTGTCTCTTGATTGGGAATTTAGTCAATTTAAATTTAGGGTTACTGCCATTTGATGTTGACTGGCTGTTTTATCCCTTCGTTGGTGTAAATTCTTCTTTATGTTGGTAATCTTTACTTTTTGGTGTATTTTTAGAAAGGCTAATACTGGTTGTTTCTTTCTGTGTGTAATGCTTCTTTCAGAAGCTCTTGTAAAGCAGGCCTGGTGGTAATAAAATCTCTGAGTACTTGCTTGTTCATAAAAGATTTTATTTTTCCTTCAGTTGTGAAGCTTAGTTTGGCTGGATATGAAATTCTGGGCTGAAGGTTCTCTTCTTTGAGGATGTTGAATATTGGCCCCCACTCTCTTCTGGCCTGTAGAGTTTCTGCCGAGAGATCTGCTGTAAGTCTGATAGGCTTGCCTTTGTGGGTTATCCGACCTTTCTCTCTGGCTGCCCTTAGTATCCTCTCCTTCGTTTCAACCCTGGTGAATCTAACGACTATGTGCCTTGGGGTTGGTCTTCTTGAGGAATATCTTTGTGGTGTTCTCTGTATTACCTGGGGTTGAATGTTGACCTGCTTTGCTAGTTTAGGAAAATTTTCCTGAATAATATCCTGAAGGGTATTTTCCAGCTTGGATTCATTCTCTCCGTCGCATTCAGGTACACCTATCAAACGTAAATTTGGTCTTTTCACATAGTCCCACATTTCTTGGAGACTTTGCTCATTCCTTTTTATCCTTTTTTCTCTAATCTTTTCTTCACGTTTTATTTCATTAAGTTGGACTTTGACCTCTGATATCCCTTCTTCTGCTTGAACAATTCGAGTGTTTAAACCTGTGCATACTTCTCGGAGTTCCTGTATTGTATTCTTCAGTTCCATTAATTCACTCATACTCCTCTCTAAGTTGTCTATTCTCAATAGGATTTCATCAAACCTTTTTTCAAAGTTCCTAGTTTCTTTACGTTGGGCTACAACATGTTCTTTTAACTCACCGAAGTTTGTTATTATCCATTCCTTGAAGAGTGATTCTGTCATCAGGAGGCACTCGTTCTCCATCAAGCCTTGTTCCATTGTTGATGTGGAACTGTGATCATCTTTAGAGGGAGAGGCGTTCTGACTTTGAGTATTCTCAGCTTTTTTACGCTGGTTTCTTCCCGTCATTGTAAATTTATCCTCCTGTCGTCTTTGAAATTACCAACTTTCAGATTAGGTCTCTTGAGTGGACGTCCAGGTTGTTAGTTCCCAGGGCCAGAGCAGCGGCGTTAAAACTGATGGTGCTTTTCTGCCCAGGATTCTCCTGTTGGGCTTCCTTCTTGTTTCCGTAGTAGGCGACTCTGCCTTCCTGGGGCTCCAAACCTCGGTCAGAAGGGGAAGCGGTCCCGTTTACTCTGCTCCGAGAGCTGCCGCGTCGAGGTGCCGGCGGAACCGCTGCGCCGACCACGAGAGTCGCACTGGCGACCCGTGTGTTTCCACCACTGGGGGATCTTCTGCTCCGTGAGCGACCAGACTGTCTGAAAGTGTGGCGTCCTCTAGTTCTCCGCGCCTTCCCTGAGAGCTGCAATCCCGGGATGTTAGCGATCGGCCATCTTGGATCGTTCAGAAGCGAAAAAATTTTTTTATAGAGACGGGGGTCTTGCTCTGTTGCCCAGGTTGATCTCGAACACTTGGGGGACCACGTGATCCTCCTGTCTTGGCCTTCCAAAGTGCTGGAAGTACAGGAGTGAATCACTGTGTCCAGTCTCTAAGGACATTAAAAAACCCATTTGACTGAGGGAGTATCCTCTTGTGAATAAGTATTTATCAGATTTGCAGCATTCCTTGAATGATGGGATTAGTTTGCGCCCTTGAGTGTCTTTGTCTATTATGACCATTTAAAGGAATTTTTAGCCCATTTGTGGGAAGATAGTACAATTAATCATAATAAATTGACATGATTTACCTAAAGGAATATAAGAATGCCTAATAAAAGATGGTTTCAGGTGAAGGGGGCTGTTCAATTCACATACCTTTTCTCCCTATTTTTCTAGGAGGTTCCTGGGGCCTGGCCCCCAAGACTATGAAGAGCCTTTGCTGAGGCCATGAGGGGTTACCATGGCGACCGAGGCAGCCATCCCCGCCCAGCCCGCTTTGCTGACCAGCAGCATATGGACGTGGGCCCAGCTGCCAGGGCCCCATACCTGTTGGGCTCCAGGGAGGCCTTCTCCACTGAGCCCCGCTTCTGTGCCCCGAGAGCTGGCCTGGGACACATTTCTCCTGAAGGGCCCCTGAGCCTGAGTGAAGGGCCATCGGTAGGCCCTGAGGGAGGGTCAGGGGGGGCCGGGGTTGGGGGGGGTAGCAGCACCTTCCCCAGGATGTACCCTGGCCAAGGCCCCTTCGACACCTGTGAAGACTGTGTGGGCCACCCCCAGGGCAAGGGTGCCCCCCGCCTGCCTCCCACACTCCTGGATCAGTTTGAAAAGCAGTTGCCAGTTCAACAAGATGGCTTCCACACGCTACCATACCAGCGAGGGCCAGCAGGGCCAGGGCCCGGGCCAGCACCAGGGACTGGCACTGCCCCAGAGCCCCGCAGTGAGAGCCCTAGCCGCATCCGGCACCTGGTTCACTCTGTGCAGAAGCTCTTTGCCAAGTCTCACTCTCTGGAGGCGCCGGGGAAGCGGGACTATAACGGGCCCAAAGCTGAGGGAAGAGGTGGCTCTGGAGGAGACAGCTACCCCGGCCTGGGTTCTGGAGGCCCCCATACCTCCCACCACCACCATCACCACCACCATCATCATCACCATCAGTCCCGGCATGGCAAGAGGAGCAAGAGCAAGGACCGCAAGGGGGATGGGCGGCACCAGGCCAAGTCCACAGGCTGGTGGAGTTCCGATGACAACTTGGACAGTGACAGCGGCTTCCTGGCGGGTGGGAGGCCTCCTGGGGAGCCTGGTGGTCCCTTCTGCCTGGAGGCTCCAGATGGGTCCTACCGGGACTTGAGCTTCAAGGGGCGCTCGGGCGGGTCAGAAGGCCGCTGCCTTGCCTGCACTGGCATGTCCATGTCACTGGATGGACAGTCGGTCAAGCGAAGTGCCTGGCATACCATGATGGTCAGCCAGGGACGGGATGGATACCCGGGGGCCGGGCCAGGCAAGGGGCTCCTGGGTCCGGAGACCAAGGCCAAAGCCAGGACTTATCACTATCTGCAGGTGAGGCTTTTTTGGGGTTGGGGAACAGGGTCCTCGACCTTCACCAGTCTTGTCAACCAGGGACCAGTGGGAAGGGTTGGGTGGAAGCCAGGTGTCTCTGTGATGGAGGGCCTGGATGCAGGGAGGCTCTGGTCTGCCCCAGTGGATCACCCTGAGCTCCTTTGGGTCTTCACTTTTCCCATTTGTGCAATGAAGGGGCCATTCTATTCTAATGATGTGTCAATGCCTGGAAGACTTCCCCTTGACCTACTGTTTTGGACAGACTGCTGATCTCTGTCTTGAGGGGTTGGAGGCATAATGAAGTTGAGGGCAGGCAGTGAACAGGATGATGAGGTACAGCTTAGCTGTAGCTGCTCTTAAGACTGAAGGTTGACAGTTGCCAAGCAGTTCTCCTGCCCCAAAGCCTTTACCAGCCCTCTTTTCTGCTGTAATCTGGGTAGCCCACATGTTTGAATATGAAGATTAGTTATTTCCAGAATGTGCCTCTGTTCAGGTTTGTCATTCTGGGGTACCTGTGGTGGGACAGCTGAGTCTGTAGAGGAGTCCTGGGAGCCTGTCTTATGTGTTTTCCTAGACTAGGGGACAAACTGGGTTTCAGCCCTGATACAATTCAGGTGGGGCCTCCTGGGAGTGGATGGTGCAGGCGATAGCTGGCATGCTTTTCTCATTGTGTCTTACCACCTCTGTGGTCTCTGCAGGTGAGGCCAGAGCTCTGATTCTTACTTGTTGTGGAGCCTTCATCCCAGCCTCATCTAGCCCACATTGTTTTCTTGAGCCCTGCTATAATTTTAGGAGGAAAAGTCAGTACGTGTTCTGGAGGTCAAGTATATTTCCACATTTCACATAGTTGATACTGATTTGTTTATTCAATGAGCATTTCCTGAATGCTGTGGATACAAAGATGAAGACAGATGCTGCTTGTGAGGAGTTCACAGTTTAGAGGGGGAATAGACAAGGAAGCAGATAGAATGTAGTGTGATGAGGCTGAGATATGACAGAGCCCTGAGAATCTTGGGAACACAGAGGAGACACCTCACCAACCTGGTGAGGAATGTCTCCTGAGCTGAATCTCAGTGGAGGAGTTGGATATGTTGGTTGCTGGCTAAATGTGTTCTGGGAAGAGATCATACAGCATGTTCAAAGGTGTGGAGAATAGAGGCTGCGTGTGTCTTTGAGGGACATTGGCATTGCTGGGTAAGTTGTGCACAAGTTAGGGCTCTCCTGGATAACTCGTGAAAGCCCAAGGCAGCACATAGGGCCACAGTGCAAGCAAGAAGGGACTTTTGGAATCAGGACCCTGGTTTGCCCCCTCCCTGGGTAGGGAGGTGCTCTAAGGAACTGAAGAGTCCAGGGAGGGAACCCCCATCCTTTCTCCCCCATAGCCAATTCCTTGCTATCCCTGAAGACTTGCTGCCATTTCGTTGCTCCCTGCTGCTTCTCCAGGGCTGCCTTGACCTCCCTGGGGGCTTCCTTTTTAACATGCACCTCACAGTGTCCTGCAGAGGAGCGAGGAGCTCTGCAGTGGCTACTGTGTGGGAACCCTGCAGTGTGGCCTTCCCATCTGCTGGCCTGCCTCTCTCCACCTGCCTGCTGCTCCTCTCTGTAGAGAATGGGGAAGGGAAATGATCCCTCCTGTCTGGAGTTCCAGTGCATCTGAGGACTGGGAAGTCTGAGCCCATGTGGAGAAGAACCAAGGGGCTACAGGGACCCTGCAGATAGCATCATGCTCCCCTGGCACAAAAACAGGAGGCTAGCCCCATGCGGCCACTGGGAGTCTTTGTTGGACTCTCAGTCCAATTGTTGAAGCCCTGTTTCTCCCACTGGATACCAGCTTTCTCTTAACCCTCTTCCAGAATCCCTCTGTCCACTCTGAGGCCCTGTTTGTTTATGGAGCCTCATCTCTGTGTTTCCATCTTCTGATTGAGTCCTAGCCCCTCAAAGAGGCCTGCTCCTCCCTGTGGGTTCCTTCAAGAGACCCCATCTCATCCCCAGAGTCTCCACCTTTCCCCTGAACCCTATGCTCTCTCTGAGGTGTGACCCCTTTTGGAGCTCCCATCCCTACCCCATTTAACCTGTTCTTTACAACAAGTGTTTTAAATCCTCCTTACCTCCCCCGGTCCTCTCCCCCACATCTTCACTTACACCTCATTTTCCGAAGTGTAGGCTGACATCATGGACTCCCTCAGCTTCCTGTCAGCATCTCTGTAGATGCATCCAGATTTCCAGCCACCCTTGTCCCCTTCCTTGGCTCACAGGAAAAGCTAGGACCACCCATCCCAGGCTGATCCATCCTCCAGGGCTCGAGCCCATCTCCTCATGACCCCCTTCATCCCTGAACGACTCCCCTCCCTCTGAGATTTAAAGACTACCTTTACTGGCTATTTCCATCATCCTGAAAACATGTCCAATGTCACTTGCATCTTAAAAAATATTTCTGCAGCCCCATCCCACATTCCATGTCCTTCGTAATAGAGCTCTTAGAGCATACACACCTGTCCTTCACTACCCTTCAATTCTCCCCTCACTGTGGTCTGACTTCCACACTCCCTGTCATTGAAACACCCTGGCATGGCCACAGATGATCTCTTGAGGGCTGTCCTCAAAAGGTACTTTTCGGTGCTTATATTAATTGTTACCATTTATTGAGCACTTTCTGTGTCCTGGAAACTCTCTATTGACTCATTTATCTTTGCCACCAAGCCTCCGATGTTGGCATACGTATCATGACCAATTCGCCAACAAGGAAAATGACGCTTCGAGGTTAATCCGTTTTGCTTAAGTTCACCTAGGCAGCAAGCGATGGGGCCAGCATTGCACATGGATCTTTTAACTCCCGAGCCTGAGTTACTAACCTCTGAACGCACTGTGGCATTTGACATAATCGACTCCTTTTATTCTTGAAATGTCTCCTGTTTCTATGACATGGCATTTTCCTGACTTCCCTCCTACCCCTCTGCCCACTCCTTCTCAGGTGACTTCACAGGCTCCTCTTCCTTTCTTCACAGTCCCTTTTAAAATGTCAGTGGATCTCTGCTCATCTTTCTTCTCCTCTCCCCTGGGCTGTCTCATTCACTGCTATGGATTCAGCTGCCACCCATGACTCCCACATGTCCGCCTCCAGCCCTGATCTCCCCACTGAATCCCAGAGCCAGACATCCAACCACCTGCTCAACAGTGCTATGCCAAGCTCAAGGTGCTCAACCCTGACCCTATCACCTTTCCCTAGACTTGTTTCTCTGGGGTTCTATGGCTCAGTGAGCGGCAGCACCCTCCCCCAGGTCCTCAGCCAGCAGCCTGGCAGTCATCCTCGACTCCTCCCGCCCCCTCATCCCCCACGTCTAATCAGGCTCACTGATGCTCCTTAACACCTCTCATTTCCATCTCCTCCTCTTCCCCCTCATTGTCATTGTCTTAATTTAGGCCTCATCGTCTCTTGCCTGGATAACAGCATCAGCCTCCTAATTGGTCTTCCTCTCACCACTTGAGCCTCTGCCCTGCTCCTGGCCCTCCACAATCCAGCCTCTGTTTGGACTGTGGGAGAGCTCTTTCTGCAACACAAATCTGATGTCACTCCCCTGCATGAAGCCCTCTGTGGCTCCCCACAGCGGGGAAGAGGAGAGGATTTGGAATGTAAGCAGGTTGAAAGGATGAAGGAGAAGAAGGGGTAGAAGGTTGACTGAGGTCAGATGATGCCTCACTGCCAGGCGTGGAATTGACACAGGTCACTTTGGCCTTTGATCTTCAACTGCTTGATGCCTGGCATGTCACTCCCTCAGACTCTCTGGGTAGCCCTTAATTAAGTGCAGAAGGTCTGTGGAGAATGACGAGGTGTCTCTTGTAAGGGAGGGGGACAGCCTGAGACCCTGCCTCCCCTTCTGCCTCTGCATGTACCTGAGTGTGCCTGCTCAAGCCAGGGCAGAGCACCTCCCACTGGCAGTGGGAGTCCTGGCCTATAGATTTACTAGGGTCATGTCTGAGAGATAGAGATCCCTGTCCCTGCAGGTGCCGCAAGATGACTGGGGGGGTTACCCCACTGGTGGCAAGGATGGGGAGATCCCCTGCCGCAGGATGCGGAGCGGCAGCTACATCAAAGCCATGGGGGATGAGGAGAGCGGAGACTCCGACGGCAGCCCCAAGACATCTCCCAAAGCAGTCGCCCGACGCTTCACCACCCGTCGCTCCTCCAGCGTGGACCAGGCCAGGATCAAGTAAGGACAGGGAGGGCTGGTGGCGGGGGGGCGGTATGGGGTCGGGAGGCTGACATGGGATTCCTGTGGGAGGTGGGTGTAGAGTGGGTGCCAGTCAGGTAGCCTGCTTAGGGTTCAACTGGGGTGTCTCACTTTGCTCCATGTAAAGGGAGGGCCTTGGTGAGAGTCCCTCTCTGGTGCCTAATTGGAGGAGTCTCTTTACCCAGGGTCTCCTAAGGGATCTCTCTTTGGGGGTTCTGAGGAATAGGACTTGCTTAGGGGCCGCCGTGCTTTCATCTCCCCTTTCCCACCTCCTAGCAGTCCACTGTTGTGACTCTGGAATTTTGGCCTTTTCCAGCTGCTGTGTCCCACCCCGGATCCACCCCCGGAGCTCCATCCCCGGCTACAGCCGTTCCCTCACCACCGGACAGGTAGGGAAAGGCCCAATATGCCTGGAGGAAAGAGTGAAAAGGGGATTCAATCCCATGCTCAGCTGAGGCCTTAAAATCAGAGGGTCTGCCCATTGAGAGAGATCAGGCCTGGCTCTGGGGAAACTGGGAAACCTGCACTAGGACTCCTGGAGCTGACTCAGGCTGGGAATCTCAGAGAATCACAGCCTTAAAACCCACCAAATGTCCTCAAAGTGATGAGCTTGTAAGGGCAACGCCTATGCACTGGGGCTCTCCAGGCCTCATTGCTCCCACCCTGCCCCCATGTAAAAGGATTGATTTGTTCAGACAGGGCACAGGCCACGCTGCAGCCTCAGAGATGATCTGGGCCTGAATTCTGCCACCCTGCCCCTCTATCCTGTGGAACCACCAGCAAGAGACTTTACTTTTCAACACCTCTGTTTCTCATCTTTAAAAAGGCAATGGTAGGGACAGTTATTTCACAGGGGTTTTGTGAGAGTTCAGTGAGAAAATGTATGCAAACACAAGATACTTGGCCCGAAAATGGCGTTTTATAAATGTGAGTTCCATATCTAAGTGTGGACTTTCCTCTTAATTAGATGGAGGCAGCACCGTTTAGTAATGAAACACATGAGATGGTGTTGAATTCCAGCTCGGCTCCTTACCAGCTGAGTGACCTGGGGCAAGTTACTTGACTTTTTTGAGCCCCACTTTCCCTTTTTAAAAATAGGCATCATAATAGTGTTCTTGGCACATAGCCAGCACTCAATAAAGGTTAGCTATTTTTACTGTATGCTGGGGAAAAAGCAATGCAAAAGACTGTCCACATTGACTCCATTGTTCACTGCGGCAGTCTCTCAGTATTTCTTTGTTACATTGCCTGAACCGGGGAATCTGATTGGCGCAGCTCTCTTTTCACATCAGACCAGCCTCTGTTGCTACACCCACGAGTTAATGCTTAGCCCTCATTTTACTTGACCCATCAGCAACATCTAACAAAGTTGAAGATTCCCTCCTTCCTGAAACACTTTACTAGGTTGGCTTAGAGGACACCGAAAGCTCTACATTCTCCTAGATTGTCTCCCTGGCTGCATATCCTCACTCTGTGTCTTGGGTGTCTCTATACCTCCCCAGGATCTAGACACGAGCTTTCTAGGGCTCTCTCCCTGGACCTCTTTCTATATCTACTCCTTGGGTGATCTTGTCTGGGCTTATGGCTGAGGGCCTGATGACTTCCAAATATATATCTCCAGCCCAGACTCTCCCGTAAAGGCCAGGCATGTATGTCTAACTGTGTATTGAAATCTCATTTGGATATCTAGTAGACATCTCAAACTTAAGATGTCCAAAACTAAACTGCTGATACACACCCCTTCCCCAATGCCCTCCCACCCCTCACTGTCCCAATTGCTGCTCTATCCTCTGGTTTAGAGGATAATGACAACTTTATCCTTCTAGAAGCTCTAGTTTAAAAGCCTGAAGTCAGTCTTCACCTTCCCTCTCTCACAACTCACCTCCAGTCCTTCAGCTGATCCTGCTGGCCCCACCTTTAAAATACATCCAGGATCCAACGACCACTCCTCACCACCTCCACTGCCACCGGTTCTTCCAGGCACCATGTCATTTTGTCTGGACAATGGCACTGCCTTCTAGTCGGTCTCCTGCATTTGCTCTTGCTCCCCTTCATCCTCTCATTACACACTGCATGATCTTTAAAAGATACAATCACACTCACTCTTCTGCTCAAAACCCTCACCTTGCTCAGAGTAAACATCAAGAACCTAACCGTGACTTTCAAGGCCTGCATGACCTGATGACCTAACTGGAGTGGAGCGGCCTCTGAGTTCCTCTCCTAACGCTGCCTCCCTCCCTCCCACTACAGCCTCACTAGATTCCCTAGGGCCTTTGCATTTGCCACTACCTTTGCCTGGATGTCACCTTTCCAGACACTCCCACGGATCACTTTCTCACTTCTTTCAGGTCTTTTCCCAAATGCTCTAAAATTTTAATTTAATATCTCTTCCAGCATTTTCTGTTCCCCTTCCCTGTGCTGTCATTGCTAAGGTCTCCTCCTCCTTCCTCCTGCCCTTTCTCCTTCTTAGCACTTTGCACTAACATCACATATACTTGACATATTTAGCCTCGAGGTATGGCTTATCATCCTTGCTTTATAGAAGATGAAAAAAGTTTAAAGTACTAGAGATGTCACCCTATTATGTCTCATATATATATTTAGTATTTAGTCTATTTTTTATTTTGTTTAGTATTTGCCTAGAACACCTTTTTTCATTTTTTACTTTAAAGCTTTTTGTCTATGTCTCAGGTATATTTTTAAAAAATAGTTTATAGCTAGATTTTACTTATATCCATTCTGACAATTGCTTGAGAGTTTAGTACATTTATATTTATTGTGATCACTGATAAGCTGTGATTACCCCTCGGCCTAAACCTGGGGTACTGTGATGATCCTAACTCTAACCCGTGGGTTTATTTCTGTCATCTTATTTTGTGCCTTCTATTTATCTTGCCTTTGGGCTGATGCTTTTCTGCTCCTTTGCTGCCTCCTTTTGGTTTGAGTTTTCTCTATTCTTCTCCCCACCAAATCCCACACTGGCTTTGTAGTTATATATTCTATTTTATTGTTTGTGGTTACCCTTATAATTTTGATATGAATATTTGACTTAATGTCTGAAGCTGACAGTTTTTTCTGTACTTCTCCTGAACAATGCAGAGACCTTAGGACATTTTGATTTTGATGACCTCTTCCCTTCTTGTTCTTCTTTTTATTTTTTGGCAACAAAAATTTATTTTCTCACAATTTGGTGGCTAGAAATCTGATCAAGGTATCAGCTGGAGTGGTTTCTACCATTCAGTGAACTATATTTTTATGTTGTTGTTTGGAGAACAAAACATTTTAAATTTGATGATGCATAATTCAATTTTTATCTTCTTGATTGTGCTTTGGTATAAAATTTAAGAAATCTTTGTGTAATGCAAGGTCACAAAAATTTACTCTAATGTTTCTCCTAAGAATTTTATAGTTTAACATTTATATTTAGATACATGACTCACTTTGAGTTATGTGTGTGTGTGTGTGTGTGTGTGTGTGTGTGATTCGTGTTAGGGGTACAGCTTTATCTTTTTGCATGTGGATATCCAATTTTCCCAGCATCATTTGTTGAAAAGGCCTTTCTTTACTCATTGAAATTTCTTGGCCCCTTTTTCAAAATCAATTTACCGTAAATGCATGTGTTTATTAATGAATCTTAAAATTTATTCCAATGGTCTGCATGAGCCTGTCTTTATGCTATTGCCACATGCTTTGATTGCTGTAACTGTGTAGTAAGGATTGATTTTGGTAAGTTGAAATTATGCAATTTTGTTACTCCTTTTAAAGATTGCTTTGTGTTTTGTGCTTCCTTTACATATACACATGGATTTTGGGTAGGCTTGTTGATTTCCATAAAAAATATAGCTGGGAATTTGAAGGGATTGCTCTGAATGTGTAGATTAATTTATGGGGTATTGTATTCTTAACACTATTAAATATTATTGTTCTTGAATATTGGATGTATTTCCATTTATTCAGTTCCTATTTTATTTCTTTCAGCATTTACTTTAATTTTACTTTTTATTATAAATTGTCGAGTTGTAGGTGTATATATTTATGGGGTACAAAGTGATATTATGATTTCTTAATACAATGTGGAATAATTAAATCTAGCGAGTTGACATACCCATCACCTCAAATACTTAAGTGATCTTAGGACACCTTAATTTCAATGACTTCTTCCCTTCTTGCATGGACTTATTGCCCAGCATTTTAGATCTACCTTTTAACCTGTCAAATTAGTCTTTATTATTATTGTTACTTTCTATGTTATTAGCTCTTGATTGTATATACTCACATCTCTACCTTTTTTACTCCTCACTCTTCTTCCTTACATCTCATTATTTCCTCTTAAAGTATATTCTTTAGTAATTTTTTCAGTGATTATCTGTTAGTAGGAAACTTTGTCTTTAACAGAAAATATATTTTACCCATACTGTTTGATACAGTTTAGCTTATTATGGGAATTCTAGCTCAGCGTTTATTTTCTCTCAGTGTTTTGAAGATATTCTTTTGTCATCTGTCTGTTGTTGCTGTTAAGGAGTCAGCTAGCAACTTGGTTGTCTTTGTAGGTAGTTTTAATTTCTCGCAGGTTGCTGTTGAGATCTTGCTTTGATTTTATTGTTCTGCAGTTTTGCTATGCTTTGTTCATGTGTGTGCTCCATAGATCTGTGGATTCATCAATTCAGGAAAATTCTCTCATGTTATAGTGCCCTGTTTTTTACTTTCAGCCTGTTAAGGTATGTCTCTTGTAGACAGCATCTAATGAGTCTTTTTTTTTTTTTTTTGGTCTTACCACTCTGCCTTTTGAATGAGTATTTCATCCATTCATGTTTTATTTTATTTAATTAATTTAATTATTTTGAGGCAGCATCTTGCTCTGTCACCAAAGCTATAATGTTGTGGCATAAACATAGTCCACTGCAGCCTTGACCTTCCAGGCTCAAGCAATCCTCCCACCTCAGTTCCACAAGTAGCAGGGACTAGAGACACACGCCACCATGCCCAGTTAATTTTTGTATTTCTTGTAGAGATGGGGCTTCACCATGTTGCCCAAACTGGTCTCAAACTTCTGAGCTCAAGTGATCCAACCACTTTGGTCTCCCAAAGTTCTGGGATTACAGGCATGAGCCACCATACCAGGCATTTTAATGTGGTTACTGATAATGGTTGGATTGTGTCATATTATTTTTTGATCCTCAGTTTTTTTCTGTCTTGTATTAAATCAATAAATATTTTAGTGCATCATTTACATTTCTTCATTAATTTTTTATTATACTTTTTGAGTTACTTTCTTAGTGGTCGCACTAGGAATTACAATGTATATCTTAGCTTATCAAAATATAATCATGGTACAATATAGAATATAGAAGCATTGCTCTAATTCATTTTTCCCCCTTTGTGCTATTAC